GCTTCAAAATTTTTAGCTGATTTTACATTCAAATTCTTTTCATGGCGGAGAAATGGATTCAATTCTGGAAATCCTCACTCTCAGAAAATGAGTTTTTAAACAAGATGTTACTCACGCCCTTAGCGATCCAAATCATACAAAAACAATATTAACTTTTTACTCTTCAGCTTTTATTCGAAGAATATCAATACAAGCTGCCCTGAAGACGGTGAAAAAATTAATCGCCGTAAGCTTGGTGGCTAAAAAACTTGTAAAAATTGCAGCTATCATGATTTTACGGCAAAAAAAATATTTCTGTCCCCTTGTTATTCAAAAGCTGCAAATTTTAAATTGGCAGAAAATCAGAAATATTTTTTTTGTGCTAAAACTGTGAATGCCACAAGATTTTGCAAAGAGCACAAAAATACCAAAAAGGAGTAGTGCATCAGCTCAAAAAATATGAGTAGATTCCAGATAGCAAATAACAAGTTTTTGGTAGTTTTTCAAGTCAGTTCAGTCAGTCAGCAGAATTTTCCGCTTCACAATTTAATAGAAACTTGAAAATATAGTGAAATAAATATATAGTAAATAGTTAAAAATGTAAATCAGTGACAAATGTTTTTGATTTTGAAAATTATCAAGAATCGGATGTATTTTCCGCCTCTGGAAAAACTTTTTTTTTTCATTAAAAAAAACGTTAACTTTCATTTTAGTTGATCGACTCAAAATACAATTAACAGTTAAAAAACTACAAGAGTTTGAACTTCTTCGTGGTTGAAAATAATAAAGAAAATTAAATTTCATGAACAATTAATCGATTATACAATTATGTATGTGGAGAGTTAGTTCGCTTCTTTTAAAACTTTTTTTTCTTGAAACATCTGGTTTGAACACGGTTGTTTTTTTCAAAAAACGATTCAGTTCAGAAAAACCTTTACTAATTAAACATATTTGATTTTTAGAAAGTCAACTTGAAAAATTGAATACGTTTCTAAAAATGGAGAAGAGTCATTAAACGCTTCAAAATTTTTAGCTGATTTTACATTCAAATTCTTTTCATGGCGGAGAAATGGATTCAATTCTGGAAATCCTCACTCTCAGAAAATGAGTTTTTAAACAAGATGTTACTCACGCCCTTAGCGATCCAAATCATACAAAAACAATATTAACTTTTTACTCTTCAGCTTTTATTCGAAGAATATCAATACAAGCTGCCCTGAAGACGGTGAAAAAATTAATCGCCGTAAGCTTGGTGGCTAAAAAACTTGTAAAAATTGCAGCTATCATGATTTTAGGGCAAAAATTATATTATCAAAATATATTATTATCATAAATCGGATATATTTTTCCCCTCTAGAAAAACTTTTTTTTTATTAAAAAAAACGTTAACTTTTATTTTAGTCGATCGACTCAAAATACAATTAACATTAAAACTAGAAGGTTTTGAACTTCTTCGTTGTCAAAAATAATAAATAAAAATTAAATTTCATGAACAATTTATCGATTATACAATTATGGATGTGGAGAGTTAGTTCGCTTCTTTTAAAACTTTTTCTTCTTGAAACTCTAAAACTCTAAAGAAAAACTAGTTTGAACACGGTTTTTTTTTCAAAAAACGATTCAGTTCATAAAAACCTTTACTAATTAAACATTAAATTTAATACAATTTTAAAACTGAAGAAGAGTCATAAAACGCTTCAAAATTTTTAGTTGATTTTACATTCAAATTCTTGAATTCAAAAGCATTCAAAAAATGTTACTCACGCCCTTAGCGATCCAAATCATACAAAAACAATATTAATTTTTTGCTCTTCAGCTTTCATTCGAAGAATATCAATACAAGCTGCCCTGAAGACGGTGAAAAAATTAATCGCCGTAAGCTTGGTGGCTAAAAAACTTTAGTTTTATTTCTCCCCACTGCCTAGAACGAATCCCCAAGGCAAAAACGTGTCAATTATTCGCGTATCGATCAAGAAATTATCACGATATCACGAAAACATTTTTAGCTTCTTGTGAAGTATCCCATTCTGGCTAATCCTATCCAACTAAACTATTGTTAAATATCATCTAATTCCATGCAGAAAACAATAAACCATTGCAAACGAAATCTTCGCCTATTAATTGCGGATGGATCTGTCCATCTAATCAACGAGGATAATTTTATTGTGGCAATCACATCAACCGAGTACCGAAACGCTCATCAGTTCGCTGATTAGGGCTTTTCAACTTTCCAATAATCATATGACACTATTTGCTAGGTCTATTGTTCGGTTCATATCCGTCCTGGTAATGCTAATTTACCCGTATTATCTTCTCAACTGCGCGACGATATATTCCGTAATTTTACATTTGCAATCCGACAATCTGTTTCATTCAAAATCCTTTTGCCTGACAACTTCAGGCATATTGAAATAATCGTTTGTAAGCTTTAATTGGCTTGGATTCATCCGAAACAATTCAACATCAAAGAAAGAAGCAACGCTGTGAATTTTCGCTAATTATACCGAACACGTAAAAGCTGTTTAAGCGGACCCTGAGTGAAGTTGACGTGATGTTTTTCCGATATTTTTTCCGGATTTTCCGGAAAAGTTCAATATACCTTGCGCTAATTCAAGCTGTCAATTCCTCAGCGAACGTTCACACCATTCGAAAATTGTTTTTTTTTTGAACAGCCAAAACTAACTTCGTATATTAGCGGTTTGGTTCGGGAAAGTGTTGTGGGGCTTTTCATGTTGAAAGCTGGGCGTAGCGTGTTATTCGAATCTTGTCGATAAACAATATAAAAACTAGAAAATATAAGAATAAAATTTTCTTTGATGCGAAAAACCTATTTCTCATAGGACCCAACACTGCTTTTGTTGTTTTTGTCCGGAGATATCAACAGAATTCAACTTATGTATTATTTTCGCGGGAAATGTTTCTGAATTATTACCAGAAATATCCATTAGTCGGATGACTAAAGAAGGCCAAACTGAATATGAAAATCTATTTTTGCCTGATTAACCTACACATTGCTGGTTACTTGCAGACTTTCCTCGAGTGGTGGTCGGCCCAGAAAATCCTCTTCGCGTTGAAAGGGACTCTCAGGCGACTTTAGAGTGCAACGTGGACGCCAAGCCAAAAGTCACTGGAGTCAGATGGATGAGGAACAGCCGATTTATCAGCCCAAATTACAACCACGTTATCCACAGAGTGTCCATTCAAGATGCTGGTAAGCAACTAAATTGGGCAGATTTAAGAAGACGTATTTAACCCGTTTATTCTTGCAGGAAAGTACACGTGCAGTGCAGACAACGGCCTGGGAAAAGTGGGTGAAAAAGAGATGACTCTGGACGTGCTCTACGCCCCCATTGTGAGTGTTGAGGCCAAAACCAAGGAAGCTGAAGAAGGAGAATCAGTCTACATCAAATGTAATGTTACAGCAAACCCGAGCCCCATCACCATTGAATGGGTAAGAATTTCGCGATCTTATGGCTATTTGTTGACTGTTATGAGCCAATATATTTGCAGCTGAAGGATGGCAAACCGGATTTCCGTCAAGCTGGAGACACTCTGCGAATTTCGCACGTAGCTGCTGAAAATTCGGGTACCTACGTTTGTCGAGCCGTAAACGTGCTGCAACCTTCAGGCCAAGGAGCTCGAAGACTGGAACGCATTGGGAACACCACTGTAGCTCTATTGGTGAGACATCGTCCAGGGCGAGCCAGAGTCTCACCAACTAGACCAGTGGTGGCAGTAGGTGGTGCTGTTACTCTGAACTGTGCCGCCTCACCTCCTGGATGGCCTGCTGCTCAATACAGGTTTGTTTTTTTCTTGTATCAACATAGTGTTCTTCATGCAATCCCTTCAAATGTTGGGCGTGAAGAAAACCCCAAAGGTGATATTTGCGGGAATGCAGGGTGTTAGAAGTCGAAGTTTTAGTTTGGTTCTTTGCCATAAATCTGAAATTATCAGGGTTACACTCCACATTTAGCATATAATTTATCAGGTGGCATATAAAAATGTCTGTTGTTTCACCCCAATTTGCCTCTTGGGTAACAATCTAACTCAACGGATGTTTTATAAGGCATTAGACAGCAGATATAGACGAATAGGCAAAGGCATTATCATTTGAAGTCACATTTTTATATGATTTGTTGTGTTTGCCGTTTTGGTGTTTATTTAAAAAGGGGCTAGTGAAAAAATAAAACGCATCACTAGTTGAGCTAATAGTGAAGTTGAGATTTTGGGAGCGAATTTTCGTAATGTTTCAAGGGTGCATTTAGCTGCATTTTGTCCTTTTACCCTGAAGATTTTAAGTGATAGGCGTCTCCAAAGTGTCTTTGGTTTTGTTTCGTCTGTTCGTTTTTTCTTTATCTCTCCTTTTGTTTGCACATTATCAATTAGTCATCCAATGGAAAATTAAATGACTGACACGATAATGTGAAAGCAAAAGGAGGAGATAAAGGAAAAACGAACAGACGAAACAAAACCAAACACGCTTTGTTTGGAACACAAAATGTTGAGGATAAAAGGGGAAAATGCACGTAAATGGACAATTAAACATTAAGAAAACTCGCACCTAAAAATTTGAAAAAATCGAAAAAAATTGTTAAGTTGCAGACCAAAGACTTGGTCTCGGTTTTGCTTTTTTGCAAGACTTAATTTTTTCTTAATAAAAGTTAGATCAGATTTTTTGGAGCCAAAGAAGTATCGCGCAGTATAATAATAGTGTTTGAAATATTTTTTTCTCGAAAACGGATGGAAAAATCGATAATAAACAGGAACATTGAATTCATGAGAAATTAACGTTGCTTCTGATTTCGAACAATTTCATGTTGCACGTACAGAGTGAACTTTTATTGGTGAGCAACGTGGGTAATTTTAAGTTTCCAACTCCGATATGTCCAGAGCAAAGGCCAAAACCCGAATAAAAATGACGACTTAACACCTTGCAGTTCCATTTTCTGAATTTCGCACTGTTAATAAAACACCCTGTATCTAGAACTTCCTGAAAAATGAAACGAAAACGTGCATAATTTGCAAGCAACTGAAATTCTATCTTTATAGAAAGAGCGACAGGGCTAGTTTTTGCATAATTTGTGACTCTGCTCTGTACATAATACTGTTAATTATGATATGCATTTTCTATTATGCAATAAGGTCGCAGTGCCATTATAATCGCGATGTTGTGCAGCATTTTATTCAACACCTCCCGAGGTAACAATTTGGTGGCAATTATTCCATTATGGCTCATGACGGAAAATAGCGCGTAATTTTGCCGGCATTAAGAACGTCCAGGGAACAATTGAAGAACCCAGAATTGAAATAATAACAATGGCTATCAATTCTCGATAACGTTCACGGCTCACATTCGCTAGATTTTCGAATGGAAGCAACTCTATTGTATGGGTGCTAAAATGCATTTTAATTTGTATTCAGAACAGTCGTTACTTGAATTCGCGCCTTTCCATAAGAATAGTGACACGCCTGGCACGTTGAGATAAATTATTGCATCGCGTGAGCAATAAATACTGGCCATTGTGGAAAATCCACGAACGCGAAATTAATTTCTTCCAAACTTAAGCCTAGAAGACAAATGGCATAAATGTATTAATAAACTTGCAATTTCAGGTGGCTTCGAGTGGGTTCGGACGGCCAACAGACCATCGTCGCTACCGGAGCCCAATATAAAATTGCTAGCGCCAATTTAGCAAATGAAGGTACCTACAACTGCCAGGCAACGAATGAATTGGGTTTTGGCGAAATGGCTTCAGTGGATTTGGAAATTCATCAAGCGCCCGAAATCACAAACAAACTCAATAAGTTGGAGTTTAAAAGAGTGGGCACCCCCAACTTCTCAGTGGAATGCGCCGCCAAAGGCAAACCTAGACCTATTGTGAAATGGCTAAAAGATGGTGAAGAACTCACTGCTGATGCCAATATGTTTGAGGTAAGTTAGTGTTTTTCACTTCAAACAATCTGCATTCTATACAGAGTTGAATTTGTTTTGAAAAATTCAATCAGCACTTGTATAGGAAGAAAGTGCTTGATTATTTGAACTTTTCTCGGGCTTTAAGTCCGTCGATGGAAATAATTTAGCCCTTGCATCTTCAGAGGTGCAAAAAACGCCCAACGCGAATCCTTTTGATAATTTTTCTTTCCCTTAAAGGTTAAGACTGAGTATGCGGATTCTAACAACGGTGTCGTTCTTGTATCGAGTGTGTTACGTTTCAATGGAAAAGCCAGACCGAAGAACAACGAGCTTTTGCCCACAGACCGAGGATATTACAGTTGCAGTTTCGAAAACGAAGTACGCAGATATGAATCGACCATGCATTTGAAAATTGAACGTAAGTTATTCATTTTTTTGCTTAATCTTACTTTATATTTAAGAACTAATCATCAGTCAGTATGCGTTAAAGTTAAGCTGTTTGCAAATGAGGTTTTGCAACCCCCCCAGACTCCTCAGATTTGGAAAACGTTATTTGAATTAACTTATTTCTAGCAAGCCATTTATTGCTCGCTCACTACCCCATTCTTCTCCATTCATTTTTTTTCAATATTTTGTAAATTAAGTAATGCTTAGTCGTTCTCTCTATTCTTCAGTTTATTGTTTAATGCTTCTACATTTCATTTTGTATTCGTTTGTCTTGCAAATGATAACATCGGTTTCAGTTTCTTTAGACCCGCAATTTTTTTTCATCTATCTCAATTACCTGTTTATTTTGCCTTTGCTCCTGTTCATCGTTTCTATTCTGATGCTATTTGTTTTTAATACAGTTAATGTTCATTTGCAACGCCCTTGTGGTTTTTGTTGCGGTTTTCTTAAGTCCGCGAAGGTTGGTTTTTAATTCAATCGCGGTTTTTTTGTTGCCTTTTCTTTGATTAATTGTTTTTTTTCTCTTCTCATTTATAAAATCTGCTTCTCTTGTTGACATTTTGTTTGAAATTGGATTTTGATGCAGTTTCACTTAAGTTGCAAAAGTTTGCTCTACTTTAATCGCGATTTGTTTGTTTCTCTTTGATTAATCATTTCTATTACTTAGTTTTGCTGATTTAATTGTAATTCCAATGCTACTTTAGTTACAGTTTGCTTAGTTTTATTTTTATTTGAATCGCTTTTTTTTGTATTTTCTCTGATTAATGGTTTCCATTCTGCTGTTAACGGCTTCCTTCCTTGATCAATCGTCTCTGTTATGCTGTTATTTTGTTAATTTGCTTGTGTTGGTGTGATTTGGTTTGTAAAACGACTTTGGCTGAAGTTTCCCTAAAACTGCAAAAGTGTATTTCTATTTAATGCGCGTTATTTCTTATCTTTCATGTGACTAATAGTTTCTATTCTGCCGTCGATTTTTAAAATTTGTTTTGATCGGGTTTATTTAGTTTTCAATGCGTCTGATTTCATAGAACAACAGTTTTCATAGAACTGCAAAAGTTTCCTTCTATTTAAACCGCATTTTTCTTGAATTTCAGCTGATTATTTGTTTCTATTCGGCTGTTAACTTTTTGATTTGTTTTTATTGCCGTCATGTGATTTGCATTTGGATTTTTCTTGCAGTTTTACTAGAGCTGCTACACCTTGTTTCTACTTCAATCGTGTTTTATTTGTCTTTCCTTGATTAATCGTTATTTTGCTGTAATTTTGCCTTTGTTGGCATGTTTTTATTTGTAAAACGACTTTGGTTTTTATTTCCCTAAAGCTGCAAAAGTTTATTTCCATTTAAAGTTCATTATTTCTTGTCTTTCCTGTGACTAATCTGTGTCTCTATTCTGTTGTCGATTACAAACGAATTAATTTGCATTAATTCGTTTGATTTTGTTTGCAATTCGGTTTTTGTTGCCATATCAATGTGCTCATTTTACACAGTTTGTGCTGTTTTTCTTATGCATACAGTATTCTGTTGTTTATTCTTCAACATGCTGTTATTGAATCGGATATTAATTTTCAATAAAGCATGATTTTGGTGCAGCTTTTTTAAGATTGCAAATGCTTCTTCAATAAAAAATCAACTCCAATAAAAGTGTAATTGAAGAATAAATAGTAAAAGCGAAACTGAAGGAAAGATGTAAAAGAGATTGTTGTTCATAGAAATTTTGCTAAGAAACTAGAAGGATTTGTATTTATTTCACTTTCTTTGTCTGCTGTTTTCTCTTGTGCAATTTTGCGCAATTATCACTTATCATTGACTTACGCCGCAATGTTGATTATCGGTTTCCTTCCTAATTTTTCGCCTGTTTCTGTTGATTTTTCTGCAACCTTCCATGTTTGTTCTATGGATTTATTTTGCCTGTGCGTTTTTCACACCAATAATCAATCTCTCGGTATCAGCAAAAAAAAACTTAATTCCAAAATTGGCTGTTTACCCGCAAGTTTCAATTCAAATTTACCTTAAATTTTCGAGTATAGTTTGTCGTATATTATTTACAAAGAATTAAATAAGTTGATTTAAAAATTCAACCAAATTCAAAACTGAGGATTTTTTTGTTTTCAGATGAACCTATTGTTCTGCATCAGTACAACAAGGTTGCTTACGATATTTCCGAAAACGCCGAAGTAACCTGCAGAGTGCAGGCATACCCGAAACCCGAATTCAAGTGGTTCTTCAGCAACAACATCAGCCCACTTCACTCCTCCTCTGAGGGACACTATGTGGTCCAAACCACTCCGGAGAACGACGACATTTACACCAGCATTCTCAGGGTTTCGCACATCGTCAAACAAGACTACGGAGAATATAACTGCCAGGTTGGATTCTTGAAACTTATCCCTGATCGTCTTCGGCAACCGAAATGTTTCTCCTGCAGGTCGTCAATAGTCTGGGAAAAACCGAAACCAAAATTCGTCTGCAACCGAAAGGCCCGCCAGAAAGACCCACCAAACTCACCCCTTTGTATGCGGGACCAACTTTTGTGACTTTGGGCTGGGAGCCCGGCTTTAACGGCGGTGTTTACAACACCAAATACTTTGTCTCCTATAAAAAAGTGTCGAGTGAAGACGACGCCAGAGTGGAGGGTTGCGGGCCAGTATCGAAGAATATGGATTGGGCTGAAGTCGATTGCCAACAAAACGTGCCTTGCAACGTTACCCATTTGGATCAACATCAAACGTATCTCTTCAAGGTAGGTGGAGCCCCGATCTAGCAACGGCATTGAAAAAACCAACAAATTTAAGCAGATTCTCTTATTACTAGAATCGTCTAAAAAAAGTGCAGAATTCCTCAAAGAACTGCTCCCTCAACTTCACTGCAACTCAACTGGATGTTAAACACTATTTTTTACTTTCAATATCCCCTTGCATTTAACTGGACAGTAAAATGAATCTAAAGTGCTGTGTTTTCCAGGTGAAAGCACTTAACACCAAAGGAATCGGTGAAAAATCGCAAGAAATTAGAGCCACAACCCGAGTGGATAGGATCCCGATGCCGCAAAGAGTTGCCTACGACAAGTCAGCAAATACGATTTCAATCAATGTGCCCGCAACCTGCTTACCGCTTATGGCCATCATTGAATCCATCAGCAACGATAATCATCCAGTTACAGCCTGGCAAGTTATCGACACTCTGCCTCTACAGGTACTGTACAATTTGTGTAATTTTCTCGACAATTAATGCTAATTTG